TCCCCCTGGCGCTCGCCAGCCCGACGCCGACGACCGTCGAGAAGCGCGCGACAACCTACTGCGGCCAGTGGGACTCGGCCGTCACGGGCACCTACACCGTCTACAACAACCTCTGGGGCATGTCCTCGGGTACCGGAAGTCAGTGTACCACCCTCACCGGCCTCTCGGGCAGCAACCTGCAGTGGTCCACGACCTGGTCCTGGTCCGGCGGGCAGTACAACGTCAAGTCGTACGCCAACGCCGTCGTCAACGTCAGCAAGAAGGCCCTGAGCGCGATCAGCAGCATCCCCTCGACCTGGAACTGGAGGTATGTCTTGTTGCTCCGTCACTGTGTACTCCTTGTCCACAAGAAAAGACCAAAGACGTTATCTACACACCAAAACCATCGAGGATGATGACCACTAACACCCCCAAAGCTACTCCGGCACAGGCCTCGTAGCAAACGTAGCCTACGACCTCTTCACCTCCTCCACGGCAACCGGCTCCGCCCAATACGAAATCATGATCTGGCTCGGCTCCCTGGGCGGTGCCGGCCCCATCTCCGCCACCGGCAGCGCCATCGCCACCCCGACCGTCGCCGGCCGCACCTGGAACCTCTACAAGGGTGTCAACGGCCAGATGACCGTCTTCAGCTTCGTCGCGCCCAGCAACGTCCAGAGCTTCAGCGGTGACCTCAAGGCGTTCGCGACCTACCTCATCAACAGCCAGGGCCTGCCTTCCTCCCAGATCCTCCAGAGCATCGGCGCCGGTACTGAGCCGTTTGTCGGGTCGAACGCTAAGTTTACTACGACTGCTTACACTGCTTCTCTTTCTTGAGAGAGAGGCTTCTGATTGGGTTTCTGAGCAAAGTCATGTGACGTTGAATTGGGGGAGGAGGCCCACTGGAAACTGAGACAGACATGTGGCATATGGGAGGGCCAAAAAGAAAGCTGTTTTGAGGACCACATTTCGCTTCACTGTCCATACTTATTTCAAAACAAGTATATATCACAAATGACCAAAAGTTGCGCCTTCACACGAGAGTAAGACGGAACGCTAGAAACTCGTTGGGAAAGAGAAAACTTGTGACCGAAAGGAGATTAGTTTTGTTTTTTCTCATCGCCAATAACCAGGCGCTCGATAGTGTGCCATGCTCTGCTGCGCAGAGACCTCAAGCCTTCCCGACCAGAAGCAGTGCCGTGGCCCGGTGGTTGTGCCAAGTTCTGCCACGCCTTCAACGGCAGCCTTCTTCGCAGCCTCGTATGCTGCTCTTGTCTCGATACGAAACGCCTTGATGGCCTCTAGGACGTCCCGCATACCATGAAGCTCTGCCGCTTTGGGAGGTTTCAACTCTGGTGGCATGACAATGGCGTCCCAAGCCGCGTGGAATATGAGAACCCCTTCCGGCACGCCAGCTTTTACGTGCGCTGGGGTGGCTGGTCCTACTCTGCTTCTAAGCAGCGGGTTCGTCACAAGTTTCATATACTCGTTAACAGCATGGCGGTTTGAGCCCAGCATGCCGTCGCCAACCCAGATTGTCCGGTCGAATTGACTCCCGCCCCATGTATCACGGTAGGGTATAGACATGCCCTGGATATCGCTGTAGGGGAATGCGCTCAGACGGACTGTGGCGGGCTGGGTGTGGTGCGTAGTGACTTCGTCCCCCGCTGTTGCTTGCTTTTTCCTTGTGGCTTCAGGCCGTAGCTGGGGCCGGCGCTCGTCGCCGAAGAAGCTGAAGCCCTCACCCTCGCCTATATTCAAGAGCTCTTCCGCATCCAAGTCGTCTGCGGCTGAAAATCCGGCTGGATCCTCAATGGGATCGGCTTCAAACTCTAGACGAAGATGACGCAGGCCATGCAGGAGTACTGGACTACGTCGCGATGACGATTGAGAGGCAGCCTTTCGGATCGCACGTTCCTGGAGACCACCCAGCGTGAGAAAATGCACAAGCTTGTCTATCAACGGCCCGTTGGAGCGACGTGGGATCTTGGTCAGAGTCAGAGACGTCAGCCGGGGGTTCATGTCCGGTTCGAATGTCTGTGGGAAGGCCATCTGAGATCGTTCCCTAACCACTGTCTCGGCTAGCCAGAGTCGTGCCATGGTTGACAGCCCATCAGTCTCAAGTGTCGGAATCTGCGTCACAAACGAATGGTGAATCCTCAGCACCCGCAGATTGGACGAGAATACGGGCCTAAAGACGTGCGCGCAGCCCAGAGCGCCGCGCAGAGTGACGTTCTTGGGCCATGGGAGGAGATGCTGTTGCTTCAAAGCAGATCCTTGGATTGGTAGAAAGAACGGAGCATCGCAGGAGAGGTCTTCCAGCTGGCCTTGCGAGCTACGCAGCAGTCTCTCCACACCTGAAGAAGTGATTTGAGTGTCTGAGATGTGCAGATGGGTGATCCCGGCGGGTGCAGAGCAGATGTCGAGGTACGGCACGTCTGACCAGTCAGGCACCGGATGATCCATGTCTCCCGCAGTTGCGGCCTTAACGTAGTCCACACTGTCTCGCCTCAACGGAGTTCTGCCATTGGCTCGCACTGCTTCATCTTCTTGTAAATCGCGACCTGTAGCGGCTGAGTAAATGGGAGCATCCACGAAGTGCCGCTCGGCATCGCTAAAGGTTGCGCTCGAGTCGGATTCCTGGATGAACACGAATGGCCCAAATGTGTCGTTTCCTTGATCGTCAAAGACAAGTTTGCCCTCAGTCATGAATCGAGACTGAGACCTCAAAGGTGGACTATTGAAGCAAAGTGCAGCAAATTGGTCGAGAACACCGTCTGTGATTCTGTTTTCGCTGATATCCAGACTCCAGAGCGAGCTCTTGAAAGCCTGGAAGAGCATCAAAGCCATGGAGTCGTTGATCTCCCGACGTCTCACCTTTAGGACCTTTAATCTGCGTAGGTTGCGTCGTCCGTGAGCTGCAGCAATCAGAGGCTGCAGGGAACCTGGCAATCCGGAAACGTCTAGAAGGACCAGCTGCTGGAGCTTGTCCGATGCATAGAAGCCGTTGGGGAGTTGGTTTTGACAATAAGCGACACTAAGAACCAACAGGCCTTGCCGAGAATCTGGTGGTGTCGTGTTTGCTTCGGACGCCGGGATGGTAGTCAAGAAGGCGGGGTCCGCCTCGGCATGCCCGTCTAAGAGGATACATCTGAGGTTCGGCAATGTCTTGGAGAGTTGACGCAGAGTGTGAGGTATTGTCCTGCTGCTACTGTCGGACGAGAAGTGGGCAGTGTCTTTTGCAAACTCGCGAAAGTCAAGCGTCATGATCAGAGCCAGGGTCTTCGGCCGCAGGCGCTGCATGCGGTCGAAGATAAATGATAGGTACCATTCCAGGTCTTTAACACCCCACCGAGATAGTAGCAACAACGTCAGCAAATGGTATTCCTTAGTTCGACGGGTGTAGGTTGAGACAAACATACCGTCACTTGGATCCAGTCCCAACCGTCGAACGGCGACTAATGGATCGTTCCAAAGGCGGGGCGCGAAGACGGCGTAGAAACGTTTATTCACAGAACAAAGACTAGTAAAGTCCTTGTCTGCGACGTATGGTGCCACCAACTCAAGCCAGTCGAGTTTACTGACGGCATCCTGATATGATGGCAGCGTGGCCATGATGGGGTTGGTGGCTTTGTTCACGCTTTCTAATTAAGACCACTTGGGACTCTCATGCCAGGATCATGGGGTATGTAGCAGACAATGAAACAGCTTGCTGCCTCTCTCTACTGGTTTGGGGGCCAGTCCAGGCCGAAATAGCCGCCGATGCAGAGAAGCAAACGTGGGTGCGTTTACTGCTAGACAATCTTGCTGGAACGAGATGAACGGGCGATACGTTACAGCGGCCGATCAAACAGTCGATGGTCGATGTGAAGCTTGCATTACGGACGGCATGTGCAGCTAGTCGCGATATGGAAAAGTGCGAATGTGGCATCCACGAGACCGAGGCTGGAAAAAAGAAAGTGGCGTGAGAGTCGTGAGATGGTCGTCGCCAGACATGAGAATGATGCGGATTCCGTTCCAGTGAACAATGACGCGCGGGCCAGATTGCGGCCCAGCGGGATATCGACAATTCTTTGAGGGCGGGCTGTCGGGGGTTGTGCTCGAGAGGCGATGCAGCGATGCTGGATGCTGAGAAGCAGGGGGCGAATGCAGGAATGAAGTCGAAGCCACGCCGGTTGGAAATCGTTGAGGATGACCTTCAGCAGATCTGTTTTGATGAAGTTCAACGACAAGCCGCAAGCGTCCCGAAGCAAAGACGGGCTTTCAGACGGGGTAGACACGTGGGTGACATGGGAGCGCCCGGCGACAGTGATAGGGCATGGGAGCGGTGCCGTCGTGGTGATTGTTCGCTGCGTGTGACGATTGTCGGGCAATCATTGCTGGGAGGCTGGGGCTGGGCGTGTAAGATTGCCTCGATTGTTTCTGTCGCCTCACATTCAGTGATCTGCTTGCTCTGCCGTGTCTGCCTCCTTCGCCTGGCTTGCCTTGTTCTGGGCGATCGGTCGGGTGGTGTTGGTTGACGTCAGCAGCAACTCGAGGCTGTGGCTATGCATGCATGCATGCCAATACGGTTTGTCCGTACCGCACGTATCGCAGATGACCAAGGGTTTGTCTGTACGACTGTAAGGTAATATCCGTAATCCGTACACCGCAGGGCCAAGAGGTGTGGGAAATCCGAAGACAGGAATTCGCAGGGTTCGGAAAAGCATGCCGTCGTCAACCGGGCGAAAGTGAGAACCCGTCACCGTAGCGTATGCTTACCTAAGGTAGAGACTTCTCCGCTGGAAGCTGGATGGTCCTGAATTACCTAAGCTGTCATGAGATACGTACCTCGGGAGCCCCCGGCGTGTCCGGCGTCTTCTTCCCGTGGCTAACGCGGCAAAGCCGGCATTGGCAATGGACGGGAGTGCCGCAAACTCACGCCAGAGTATCCTCTCAGCTAACCTCGCAAGACGACATATCCCGAAGCTAACATTGACTTCGATAGTCCTAGTCTACGCGAGCCGAGTCCGTCTGATAGCTCACGCAATGCGGAGCCGTGAGCGGTAGGCGGGTCCGACCAGAAAAAAATGACAACGGCCAGGGTCCTTCCAAGCTTGCAAGCCACCTTCGGCGCTAAGTCTCCGGAGCTGCGCCCCGGCCTGGTGCCCCACACAGCCAATTGCGTCCGAGTCTCCACTCCGTGGCTCGTAAGCTTCCAGCCAATCCCGCTCCATCTGTACCCCCGCATCCGATGGTCCCAAGAGGTCGAGACCCGGCCGACAGCCGGCGCTGCCCCCGCATCGTCGCACGGCGCACCTAACGGCTTCCCACACCAAGGAAAAGTTCAGAGCAACCGTAGGTTTTCCCTTGCGCTTTGGCGACACCATCAGAAGAACTACGGACGCAGCTCCGTAGGTCCACCACACCAATGACCACACACCTAAGCTCATCCATTCATCAGCCCCCGAATGAGAAAACCATCCTCCTTCTGACCAGACAACCACCCGTCACGACATCATCTGACGGATCATGGTTTGTTATTCTCATCTCTGTGCGGCTAGTCAACCTCTTTAACATGGAAAACAAGGCACACATCCTAGCCACTCAGCTCCAAGCTCTCCAAAGTACCTCTGTCCGCGTAATGCAGCGCGAATGTTTGCGATAGACTTAATCACTGACTCATAGACTAAACGAACCTAACCGGAAACTCCAATGGATTGAGGCATATTCTAACGACCACGAACGATCCTCTTCTCTGCCGCATCTTGCTTGTCAAGCGTCGGTCCGTCCACCCGTCCCACCCTCACGCATTCAACTTCCACCGGACGGCATACGCTAAGAGAAACGACGAAAAGATGCCTCAGAAGGATTTGGCCTTGTTTTGAGGACGTTACCTCGGCAGATGGACAACTGGCCGCTTCTTATCTCGTACGAACGTCGTACTCCCCGAAATCGCAACAGCAGCCTTCTGCCTTTCGCTCTACAACTCCTGGTACCTTGCCTTGGTTACACAAGGTCCCACTGCCCATGTCTCTACACGATGAGATGCTGCAGCACACCAGATGCAGCGGCTGCCCGAATCCGATGGGCTGCATGCTGCCCCCCTGCGAACGCCGCGCCCTCTTGGAATTTCCTTGTGCTTCCAGGGCACCAGGGGTGAGCAGAGGGCCAGAGTGGGCACAGGGGACACATGCATCTTGTCCTGACAAATTCCCGCTGTCCTACCTATCATTGTCCTGGACTCCTGCATGCTGGCCTGCCTGCAGCTTGCCCACCGACAGCGGACATTTTTGCATCTTCAGTGGAACGCTGCCATCCCATCCCGTGCGAGAGCACCAGTAGTAGCACCAGCAGCACCAGCGTCAGACCTCTCCTGGCAGGGTTTCCTGTGTGCCTGTGTAACGACGACGACGTCGACAGCGCTGAGCGACGAACCCCCTCCCCTGCCCATATCCCGAGAATATGGTCAAGATCGACGGTTTGACAGGGTCGCCGCAGGCTCCGAATGCCGACGCTCAGGCCAGCCTGACTGGGCTGCCTAGACACGCTACCACCCTACCAACCTGCCAACCTCTGGACCTGGGAACCCCAGCTGCCCATCCATCAGCCCGAACCTCGACTCATCTCATCTCTTGACCAGTTATTGCACAGGAACGGCCGTTCGGACAAGGTCACCAAGGTCTAGGCATTTCCGGGGTGGAGTGCTCCGTCAGTGCGTGTGTGTATGGAGTATGGTGTGTGTGTGTGTGTGTGGTTCAACTGCAGCACTGCTTAATCAAACACGCTTTGCGCCCGTAATACCGAGAGAAGCAGTGTTCAGTCTCGTCTCACTCTCTGAGATTGAGTTGTGGTCTTCCCCTGCTGCCCTGCTACTCACTTGCTCTCCGCCTTTTGCACAGCAGAAGGCCCTGTGGTCCTGATTCGAATTTGCTGCTGCTGCTGCTCCTGCTGCTGTCTTTCATTGTCATGCAAACGGCTTCGGCTCGTCTTTCTTTCTTCGCCAATCAAAGCGAACCCCATCACGTAGGAAAGAAAAGGTTTACCACATGGGAATAGTCACACAGCACGCCGCCCTTCCCGACCAACCATGAGGCTCCCACGATTGAGCACCTGTTTCGAAACAAAAGAGGCCAGACGGAGATTTCTCTTCGTCTTCTGTTGCATTTCGGAGTCACCTGTCAAATGTCGCGTCGTCCAGGCACTCTGGTTGCTACCTACAGGGCAAACCCAGGCTTGCTAGGCTACTAGTTCTCTTTCGTCCGGGGTGGCCCTGCTCAAAATGACCGACTCCCGCCTTTTTTCTGCCCATCGGGCATCGGCTTTTGACCCTGTCAGGCTTGCTGTCTCCTCCTAAGTTCCTCCTCCTCTCTCCCCTTCGGCCCTGGTCGATTGGTCTCCCCTCCCCTGCCTCTGATCATCTTACCCCTGCCCATTCCATCATTCGCATCGGTTCGTAACCTTCGTCGCCCTGTCGAACCTAACTATCAAGAGGCCCCCTAGATTCCAGAGCAACTATTGTACCACCAGGTCCCAACTTTCTGCTATGGATACCTCTTTTCGTAAAACCTCTTTTGCCCCTGCTTTCCCACCAACCCTATTTCGTGATCCCGTCAATCATCCCGATTCGCGCGGGACGTAATCCTGATGACGGAAGCTTGCCTGTAAGAATGGGGGCATTTTTTTTTTTTTGGAAAAACGCAACTACGGTTGAACTAACCGCACACGCCGATGAACTAAGCCATAGACCAGTATCCGTAGTCTCTCTCTTTCTATCTAGCCCATAATGAACGTTTCCCCAAAACCCTGACGGCCTGAACCGCACCGTTTGCCCCTCTCCTCCCCGCTCGCTCCCGGCTCTCGACTCGCGTCCCGGATCGTCCACGAGCCCAGGTCATGATGGGGCAAACTTACGAGAGCCTGAATGGGCAAAAAGAGGCAGAAGGAGAGTTTTCGTCTGAGCCCTGGTCCTGAACTAGAGCATGGGATAAGATCATAAGAGAGGCTATCAAGCACGTTCGTCCCCATCGTGAACCCTAACCCCTACCTAGTTCTCTTAGATGTTCTTCCTTGGCGGATGGAGCAAGAAAAAAAAGCGGTGGTGCCTTGTAGTCTCGACTCTTGCAGCAGGAAAGAGAGGGAGAGGAAGAGGAACGACGCCAAAATCCGAGACAAGCATACCTTCGCTTTGGCCGTGCCTTGATCTTGGCCCCCTGGCCCTGTCTATTCCATCACCCGTCCACGGTTCCACCTTGACCACATACGCGTTTGGAAGTGGGGAATCTGAGTGACCCGGGCGGTGATCGTCAAGTTCACCTACCGAGACGAGAATGGGACGAGAGGGGACCTCAGCTGAAGGCTGTCCGTTGTCAGATTGATGATTGCAACGCTGTTACAATAGTTACGCGTTGACCACTACTACGGTCTCCCACAAGGCCAAGATGATCCTACGAGATCGGGTAGTATCGAGCCAAAATATCAGATATCACCTGCAGTAGGTATGCATACATCAAAGCAGTACCAAGATTCTGACGGGCAAAATCGTCTCCATTGAGTATAGACTGATTTACTTTTTTGGGAGATGCAAAGACGTAGCTGAAGGATGAGATTCCCCGACAAGTTAAATATGTCAAGTCTACGCCATGCAGATGAGATGTGATAGAAGTTCGGATGCCACCTATCCTGCGTCGCTCTGCTCTCGGACTTCAGCTTTCTTCGTATCATCAGTACGTAAGGTAGACTGTTAAGTGCCTGGATGTAGTGATCAAAGACCCGTACTAGGGGAAAATATCGGGTTTCTTTCATCTTTTGATCTTCGAACCTTGTTTTCTCTCACATTTCTTAGTAGTGACAATCTAAATCGTAGAAACAATGGTAATCTCTTTCGTATCCTCGCAAACCCAGTAGAATAGGGTACTTATTCAGTACAGAGTAATAGACCGACCACTCCTCCCCTCCCGTGTCCCCATTTTTCGCCGTTTAAACCCCCAAAAGTAAGACAAGTTGGCCTCCTTCCCGGTATCCCCTACTCCTAGTTTTCGCACCAGAGACAGGATCTTCCCCTTTGGTATCCTCCTTCCCCTCTTTCTCCCACTCCCGCCAATGTTTTTGATTGGTACTCATACGACTTCGTTTTTGAACGTCTTTTCAATCGTTAAGAATATATGTAAATCTTGTGAGTTTTTTGTGTGTAGGTTGTAGTGTGTGTGTGTGTGTGTGTGAGTTGATATTTCTCCGCGGCAATCGTAAAAATGCATGTAAAGTCGTTGCGCAGGGACGGTTGGTGGGATGTGTTGACAACCTCCGATGGGAATTCCAAGCGTCTCTCTCTGATAAGCAAAAACATCCTCCCCAGTTTGACCCATACAGTATAGAAACAAGTAAGGTAGAAATAACACAAAGTGACAAAATACACCCAGACGGTTTGCCAAATATACGCCTAAGAAAAAAGGTAATTTTTCGTGCAACAGAATTATTACAGGTTGGAAAGGCAAAAAAGATTTGTGTTTGTTGCAGCAACGTTGCAAGGATGAGCAACATGCAGAGAAGTGGCGTTCGCATCCTCATTGGGGATCCTGGGAATTGTCTTGGAAATGAAGAGAAGCAGCCTATCCCCTTGGGAAATCCCGACTTGGCGTTTCTTGCTGCCCCTCTTTCTCGGCCGGAGTGGCTCTCGAGTTCCCAGTGGCCCCCAGGAAACGTCCCGTAACACCCCGGTTCGAAGTGTCTCACTCCAGCAGCAAAGCAGTAGAGATAGAGTAAGAAACTTTGATGTTTCTCTCTCTCTCAGTTCTTGTTGCTGCCGCTACTGCTGGGGCTTGAGCTGGTGCCCGTCTTGACGCGCTTGCGGCTCTTGCTCTGCAGGCACATCTCGTCGTAGAGCTTGGCGGCCTTTTCGTTGTATGGCGTCCTGCTGCTCTTGCCCTGCTTGTGAAGAAGGAGATGGGAGACAAAGTTGTCGCGGCGCTCCTTGAACACGTGGTTGCAATTTGTTGCAGGGCACGTGTAGAGCTCAACCTCCTTTTCATGGGTACTAAAACACGTGTTAGTGGCGTTGTAATTGTGAGTTTGGGCGATGAAGTAGATACTTACGCCTTGAAGTGTCGCTTGAGATGCTCCTTTCTCTTGAAAGTCTTGGTGCAGTCGGGATATGTGCAACGCTCCCGTCTAGGCGCCACGTGACGGACCTTCATTGAGCCGCACTCGAGGACGGAGCCATCCTGGTTGACCTGGATGGACCTCAGTTGCCGCAGTGCCTCCATATCGTTCTGGTTCTTCTGGAGTGCGAGAGTCTTGCGCTGGACCTCGGCGAAGAGCTTGCGCCTGGGGTCCTGGCGGTGGTGGTATGCGGCCGCTGAGGGGGGAGTGAGGCGGGGGATAGGGGAGTCTGTGGTCTCGCGCTTGACAGCGCTGCTGTTGCCGCCGTGCATGGCCTGAAGAGGCGACGTTGAGG